CCTCCCCGCAGCCTGGCACAGGGACGCTGCCTCTGTCCCAGTGCGCCTGCGCTCAGCTCTCTGGTCTGTCCAGTGTTACTAAACAGTTTCCATAACTTTTACCTTTGTCTCCATAATGAGCATGAAAGTTGGAAATACTACAGTCATGTCGCTTTCAACACTTGGATCTCTTATTATCTGAGCAGATATAATATTAATATTGAGGGTTGGGTGTGAAACTTATTTTCAAATGTTATGTTTCCTTTATAATTAACTTTTGTGCTAGAGTGTGATTTGATATGTCATGACCTGTCCAAAAAGCCTCATGTTTTGTAGCTCACCTTTTTAAGCAGAGAGCAGCTGCATCTTGAAATGTTCTATCTCAACCGGACAAGCTGTTTACAAGCTCAGCTCTGACACATCCTGACATTTAATGTCTGTGTTTGTATTTCTCCAGGGATTAGGCTGCCTTTCTAATTAATTAGTTGCATAACCTTTTATTAATTCCCTCAAAATTTATAATGTTTTAAATTAACAACCTAGATAAGCACACTACACTTTTTTGGAAAACATGAAATGTTAATTATGTAGCAGAGACGTGAATTATATAAACTCTGCTGAATGTTAGTAGATGCTTAGCAACAGTGTTTTCCAAATATAGGGATTTATTATAAACTTGCCCTTCTAAGGCTGCCTGTACCGTTTCAGGAGAGTGAATATAAATAGAGCTGATTTTTTCAAGAGATGGGCTCAGACATTTTGTTTACAGGGAAAGGAAGTATTTGCTTCACTACTCTATGAGTTTATCTGTAGCATCCTTGTTGATTACACATCATTTCATTGTGTTCATACTTGGGCATTGGTAAGACAGCATCACCGAGCAGGAAGAATGAAAACTCATATTTAAACAATGATTTTATCATTATTACGCTCAAGTAGGTCTAGTAACAATACTAAACCTAATGACTATAAGATAACATTTTTTGAGATGGAAAATTTTATCTATCTTAAACCAGAGTTCTGAGATAGTTATGGCTATTAGCCCTTCCTCCCACCCATTAGTAGCTTATTTTAATGGGAATTTATGGTGGATCTACTTTGTACAAAGTACTTAACTCTTATGAAAAGTTCTCTTTGTAATGTTTTTCACCATGTTTGGAATTCCTCCAATGGTGTTTTCTAAGTTAGAATTAAAATACTGATTTGTGAGAATTCAGTATTTTTAAATAAAGTCCAGGGACATATGGGGTTTAGTGGAAGGCTTATGGCATAGGTTCTCATGGTAGCACTGTCCTTTGTCAGCTGGCTGAGTCTTCGGGCAGGCCAGATAACCTCTTGTACTCTGTTTCCTCACTGCTAAATAAGGATGACATACCTTTTTAAGAATTCTTAAGAGGTATAAAAAAAGTCTGGCAGCAGTGGTCATGGTTCATTCAGGCCCTTGGTAAGTAGGGCCTTTCTCTTTAAAAACTTACGCATTTTATGTGTATTTATGCACTTGTAGAAGCTTATTTGAATTTTGGCAATATTACTGATATTTTATGAAGTATTTGTGGTTATTTTAGTACAAGAGACATCAGGGAAATTTGGAAGAATTCTCTGCCTTGCTAGAGTAGTGATTTTTTACTAAATCTGGGTCAGTGAACGACTTTCTCATCAGTAAGAACATACAGCCTGGAGACAGATGTGGCTTGTTATGGGGGCCTCCCTGACAGATTTTCTCTCTGAATCAGAGTGACAGACTCTTCCCTTTTTTGCCTCCCTTGTCCCACACTTTTGAAAGTGGTGGCAGCCCTGGCTGGTGTGGCTCAGTGGGTTGGGTGTCCCCCCGGGAAACCAAAAGGTTGCCAGTTGAATTCCCAGCCCAGGCACGTGCCGGGGTTGCGGGCCAGGTCCCCAGTTGGGGGAATGAGAGAGGCAACCGACCGATGTTTTCCTCCCTCTCCTTCTTCCTCCCTTCCCCTTTCTCTAAAAATAAATAAATAAAATCTTAAAAAAAAAAGAACGTGGTGGCGGTTCAGAACAGAACTAGTTCCTGTAATCAGTGGAGGTGACACCAGTGACTTTTAAATGTGAGTAAAACAAGAGCCCGGGCTCCCTTGAGGCGATCTGCTTCCTCCTCCTCCGTGCAGGAGCAGGGAGAGATGGAGCCCTCGGGGGCGGGGCGGGGAATGGGCGGGGGGGACACGGTGAGTGATGCCTCCCCTCCCCTGCCCCGTGTCCGAATGCAGTACTGGGTTGAGGGGAGTGAAGACTCCGCATAAAACAGAAATTTTCTGGTGTTCTCATATTTTGAGGAAACTGCACTTTACAAAGGGAGCCTTAGATTCTGTTATACTTACTTGCAGGCTTTACGTTCTTGAGTATATTATTAGGAAATTTTATGCTCAACTTTTCAATTCAAATCTGAGATCCAGATGCCCATGTTTCCTGTTACTTCTTCATACAATTGTCTGTAGGGTAGGTAGTAATTTTAAAAAAGCATCATTATTTCTGGAATCCGTTGAAGTTTATTGTTAGTTTTTAATAAAGGAACTTAATTGCACTCTCAAAAATAACATCATTATTTAGCAAGCATTGAGTGTCAGATTGTGGGATTCCACATGCGTGTGGCTAGATGATGTTTGTTGATTGAGTCTGGAACAGATGGTAATGAAGAGCATGGATTTAGAGTAATTGCTCTTGTCCGGAAACGGTTCTCTCTGGATGGCGGAGTGGGGCCGGGGGCGGGGTTCCCGCTGCACTGGAAGGGGTGTGCCGGCATCCGGCTTGCCGGGGGCGCTTTATCGTCTTCTCTTCACTGCATCTTGTTTTCTACTCTCAACTTTTTAGAGCATTGGAAAATAAAATAATTAAAACAAAATGTCACATTTATTGTTTAATTAGGTACACCTGTTTTTTTGTTTCAAAGATTTTTAAGAACAGGGAAGTATTGCTTCTGTTTTTGTTTACATTTTAAAAACTAACTTGAAACATAACAAGGAAAAGAAGTATCACAGATTGCTTGCTCTAAGCCATATTCCCTGATGATGTACATGTGGCCGTTTGCGTCTCTGAGTAATTGTTTACTTATGCTTTAAAAAAATTCATATTTTTAAGAATTTAATTTCTTGGCATAGATTCCAGTATGTCCTCGTGAGGAATGGTTGGTGTCCAGTAATTTCAGCTTAGCATCACAGGATTTTAAAACTGAAAAAATAATTTAGAGAAAATAGATTTTAATTTTTCCATCTAATAAATGAGATAGCTGATGGCCGAAGAGGCAGTTTTATGTAAAGTGACACCTCAGCTAGTGGCTGCTCAGAGGACCGTGGGGCCGGACCGGTTAATGGGAAGGCTCCCGGGAGCCTAATTTTTGCAAGCTCTCATAGCCATTTAGCATTAGAAGGCCCGTGACCCATAGCTTTTGCAAATCTGTATATTAGTGTTCTTTTTTCCTTTCTGACCATCTGCCATGCTTAATCTTGTCAGGGATCTACAAACAAAGTATGGAAGTTGGATTTAGGTTATTCAAAACATGTTCTTTCATATTTTATAAGAGTGAACTCTTTAAGGACGGGGTTTTGTCTTCTAGGGTCTCATGGTCTCAAGTGTTACGCTCATTCTTATCCCTGGGCCTTTGCTTGCCTTTCTCTCTGCCTGGAAACTCTGCTGCCTCTTTGGCCTTAATTCCCATGTTATCAGTTTAACATCAGCTCATTTTTTCAAGTCTAACTGCTTGAACTTGGAGACACTTTTTAATCTCTCATCATTTCTGAAATAAAGGGATATACTGAATTATTTCTGTGACGGTTGTCTTAAATTGCCACCAATCCCCCCCACTAACCTGGGTTAGACGTGCCTGAGGTGAGATTAGAGGAACTGAGCACCTCCTTGACTTTCATCCTTTCTCCTTCCCTAACATGTGCGTTGTATCTGTCACCATCCTTTATAACGTACAGCTTTAGTAGCGTCCCACAAATTTTCATGTTATATTTTTATATATTTCATGTAATATGTTTACTAATCGCTTGGAAATGTTTTGTTGTGTTCATCACAGAATTAATCTTTGTACTTTACTATTTATTAATTTTTTGAAAGACTTCATTGTTTTCCCTTTTCTGTCTCCTCTTGGAACTAGTGCTGTTTTCTTATTACTCACATAGACCTCACATTTTTGCCCAGCTGTAAATTCTGTAGTTTGTATTTGAAAGCACAAAGGCTTTGTGTTTTATAAATATGTAGGTGTATTATAATATTGTATATCCTTTTTAAAACCATGTATTATTGCCTTCCCTTTCCAAACCCCTTTTTCAAATGAAAATAATTGGCCTTCTTTATTGTTGATCATTATGCTTACATGACATAAATGTGGCTGGAAAATTATTAGACCACTAACCTTTTTAAGCTTTTAGTATCTCAGTACTGGTAAGAGTGAGATACCTGGTTTAAATGAGAGATGTTGACAGGTATTGTCATATAGCTGCCTGGGGCATGAAGAAGAGTAAGAGTCTTCTGGCCTTTTCAGCACTTCCACTTATGGAAGATTTTTTTAAAAAACTACTTAAATTCTTTCAGGCCGCCATAGTACTGTTTAAACAACACAGCACCTTATTACTAAAGTTTTATTTTGTTTTCTATACTACTGCACCATTTAGTATTTTACCCTTTTGGCCTTTAAAAGAAATTCTTCAAACAGATTATTTTGATGGACCTTTATGGTCTTTTTTGAGGATGTTGTTTTATAAGTTTGATTTCATGTGTGTAAAGCATCTGTCTTTTCATATTTCATACCAGTTTGTTTTCTTTTTCCTGCCAAACTCAGCACTTGGAGTTTTGCTTCCATCCCTCATACTCATCCACCTTCCTCTCCAACCGCCCCCTTCCCCGGCCCCCCCCCCCCCCCCGCCACACACACAAACAAGGACAACACGTTTGAAATGCTATGATGTGCGTGAGCTTTGGGCTTGTTATGAGTGGTAGTGGTTCAGCCTGTATTCAAGGGGTAAAGGATAAATCTTGTGTCACTGTTCCCTTTGCAGGTCTCTGTGCCTTGCGGAGAGTCCTGAAGGAGCAGCCTCAACTCCCTGACAGCAAGGTGGCTGGCTTGGTGAAGATCACTCTGAGCGACTTCGTGCAGGCGATGAATGACGTCAGGCCCAGCGCCATGAGGGAGGTCGCAGTTGATGTTCCAAATGTAAGTTGTTTGTACCCTCATGCGGGCCACGCTGAATTCAACTCTGAAAGGAGCTGAGACTTCCTAGGCTAAACTTGAAAAAAAAATTTTAATTAAAATACTAATAACATGCCTTTTGCCTCTGAACTTCCTGTTAATTTATTCAAACCAGAGCTACAAGTTTGGTAAGGTATTGGCCGAACATCTGAAAGGAAACATTCCATTGGCAGCGTCGAAATGCGGTTTGGGAATTCGAGAGGGAAGCAGACTTCAGCATTATGTGCTGTTAAAGGATGGAGGGGACCTGTGAGGGCAGGCCGGGGAGTTACCTTTACTGTGTGGATCATCTGTTAATGTTCCCTGTGTCCCAAGTGGGCCTGTTATTCAGGAGAAAAAATGGCCTTTTAGTTTTCTTTGCATATATTAATTTGCTAGAGAATGAACAGTTTTAATATGTTAATATGTATTATGAAATGTCGAAAGAGCTGTTAGGGAAATAGTTTTGGCCATGGCCCATGTGGAGCAGAGGCTTTCTGCTTGGCAGTGTGGTAGATTGCAAAAAGGACCACAAACTCTTCCTGTCGCTGTGCATTTGCCCTTTGCTCTACAGCGCTGTAGCTCCCACCATAGGAGAGAGGGAGTCAAGCTCTCTGCCCTTTCTTGGTACCTGTACTTGGCCCTGGGACTTGCAAGCAGGCTTGGCATCGCTGGGGGCTTGCCTTCTTGCTGCTCTCTGGGACCCTGCATCGGTCCTGCGAAGAAACCTGTTCCAGTTCCTGGGGGATGAGAGACCATGCGGAGCAGAAATGAGCCCTCTTACCTGAGACCCACTTGAGTCCAGCCATCCAGCCAGTTGCCAGACATGTGATTCTGCGCTGGACTAGCCCGCCCGTCGGAGTTTGCCCACACCGGAAGGACCCCCAGTAAACCCTCAGAATTGTCTGAAATAATAAATGTCTTTTGTTATTGGCCACTAAATTTTGGGGTGGATAGCAAAAGCTAAGAGGTACAGACACTTTTTAACTCCTTATACAATAAAACACAATTGTTCTGTGAATTTCGGCTGGGAATGGGGCCCTAGAGGCAGGAGCACCCCCGAGGACTGGCTGCTAGTTCAGGCGAGTTAATGTGGTTTTGAAATGTTTTTGAAACATTTTCAAATTCACTACTGAACTTACAGCCTACCTTTGGGGTTTTTCAGAAGCTCTGTTGCAGAACATGCTAATTTAGTAAGAATAATTTGACAAATGGGGTTTATGAAATAATGAATGATTGATGTCGGGTTAGTAGAAACTTTTCATTTCTTTGGAATTTATGGTCTAAAGTTTGGGCACATCGGTATGAATACTTTTATTTGCTGTATTTATCTGTATTTTATTGGCTACTTTTGCATAGTATAATGGGTCAGATAGATGCCTAACCATAAAATGCCACATGTTTTAGATGATAGGGTTATAAATCAACTATACCATCCAAAAACACCTTACTGTTTGAAAAACTTTAGGAACTAGGAAAACATACAGTAAGGTCTTAAACGTAAAGGCGCTGCCAGTGGAGAATGTGTTTAAACAGTGGCTGTCAGCTCTTGGACCTGCTGAACTGATTTATTCATCACAGGAACTGGTACTATAACTGCATTTTTAATTGCGCTAATGAAAGATTTTTTCCTTTATTTTCTTTTGATACAGTATTTACAGTCCATGGACTTGTGCCATTTTCCACTTGGCACTTTACGGTTTGGCCTTGGGCCACGGTGTCCTGTGATGTTGCTCACGAGCTCCGACGTGGTTAGTCCTGGTCAAAGGACTTGCTTATATTGCTTTTTATGCTCACTTCAGATTGTAAAAAATTTCCTGAGAAGTCAACATTTCTATAATTGGATTCCTAAACTTCACCCTTCTGATTTCTGGCTACTACATCTACAGAAATATCTCTCAATTATTTCTGCAGAAAATATGCTTGCTTTGCTATAGAAAACATGTTTCAGTAGCTAGTTAATTGTGAACATTTTAAAGTAGTAAATTGAGCATTCAGTATCTTTTGAGAAAAGATTTTAGTGTGTGAAATTGAAGACTTGTAGTCACACTTGCCTCGCTATATTTAAGTTTGAAAGAAATGTCTCAGGATGGGAACGTGGCCAGTTACAATACACCACCTTACTAACTTCAGGGGACCGTGAGCGTTGGCCATTTACTGAGATTAACGTTGCCTTTCCTTGGACGCTCTGAAATGGTGATTACACCAACTGGTGTATTAAAAGTCAAATGTATTTTACAATTAAGTGTTGATTAAAGTCAAAGGTATTTCTTTACCACAAGAATTCTTAAAATCCTTGAATATTTTTTTTTTTTTTTAAATATGGAACGCTTCACGAATTTGCGTGTCATCCTTGTGCAGGGGCCATGCTAATCTTCTCTGTATCGTTCCAATTTTAGTATATGTGCTGCCGAAGCGAGCACTGAATATTCTAATACATATTGTGAAAGGTCAGTTTTCTACCCAGAGATAACAACTGTTAATATTTTGTTATAGTTTCAATAGATTTTAAAGATTTGTTTGTAAGCATATTGATATTTTAATATAGTTAACCTTAGGGTATAATTTTATATTCTGCTTTTTTACTTAAAATTATATGGTAAACATTTTACTTTAAAATTTATTAGCTAACATCTTTTTAATGACGGAATAACAGACTTATATGGATAAACTGTAATTGTTTTATCCTTCCATTCTCAAATATTTAAGTTTCTTATTTTTTTAAATGGTTATAAACATGTTTTGTCTAGTCTTTGCACTTAAGATTTGTAGAAGTTGAATTACTAGAATATCAAGGTGTTTCTTTTCCAGAAAGGTTGTTCTAATTTATAACCATGTAATAAAAATTTTAAATGACGAAGAGCTTAAGCAAAATCTTACTTTATTTTCACTTCAGTTTTTTTCTTTTTTACTTTCTACTAGAGTTTATTGTCTTGACTGAAGAGATCCTCTTTTATTATGAGGAATATTACTGGTTAATATTTAGATGCATAGAGATTTTAAAAAGAAGATGAAAAGTATTATATGCCTCCTCCTTCCATAAAAATGTTAAATTTTTAGATAAAGTGTGTAGCTTGATGATTTTTTTAATGGATTTTAAGTTTTATGAGAGCTTTTTATTTTTATCTTTAGTACTTAGCATATGACTAACACATAAGAGATGTCCAATCAATATTTGTTGAATGAATGAGTTAATACAATTTTTCATGAAAAAACGTATTAGATGCCTCATTTTAGATACATCTGAAAAAGTATGTCATCTTTCTTCTACACAAAAGTCCAATATAGTCTGTCTGTTATTTCCTACATGTAACATTCTTCAGATTTTTTATATTTTATGAAGCTGCTGATTTCTGGAGTGAATTTTAGCCCTTACTGTTTGTTCAGTTAATATAACATTTCTGTAATTAAAGGGCCTGTAATAGTGCTAAGCTGTCTACTCTAGAAGGATGTAGAATAGTGCTTTATATTTTCTGCAGAAACAAGTTTTCTTAATGTATTAAAATTCTCATTAGTAAGGTAAAGAAAAAGTATGCTTTTAATATTTGTATGGTATTTTTGCAATAGGTCATTGCATATATACCTTAGCAATTATCACTGATAAATAGCATTCTTAACCAAATATATACAGATTAATTGCCATCAAGTTTAATTCATTTTATGCATCTTAACCACCACTCCCCGCCCCAGCCTTCCCTATTTCATTTTATGTAGTTTTAGGTTGTCCCTTATTACTTAGAAATGATCCATCTTTGTACTTGTGATACTGCTTTTGGATTACAGTTTTCAGAATTGGGACATTTGGTTCAGAATAAGCTAAAAGCCAATAAAAGGGTAGGGCTCTATTTTCATGTGAACCCACTTTTGTAAAGTGAGCTACATCCAGAACCTTGGGACCAGCTGTGTGGCCCCAAATCAGTGGGTTTCATTAGGAAACCTGGGTCCAGATTAAACTTCCAGGTAGTGGGCTGTCACACTGAGAGAATACAGCATGTCGTTGGTTAAACAAACACTCCCTATTGACTCCCATTTTAGAAAGTAGCAAACTTCTTAATTATATGAATAATCAAAGGGCTGTCTGTTTCACTAATTACATATTCAAAATTTACTGATGTATTTTCATTTGGCACCTTTTCAGATAAGAGGAGATCGCAGAATGTGACAAGCCAGGTGAATTTCATAGGATGAGCTCGTTAACATTACTTCTCTGGTGCGAAGATTTGAGTTAAATAGTTTAATTGACCATAATTACAGTTCATTCTTCATGTACCCTCAGGATAATTAGAAGGAATTTATTGAGTTTCTGTATTTTAAAAACAGCACTGGATTCTCTGTTTTCTTTATTTTTTACAGTTTCAAAGGATTGAAGGTTCCTGTGATGCTTTCCTAAATAACAGATTGCTTTTTTTGGAATAGATAGTACAACCTGTGGAAATTCTATTAATTCCATATTGGTTCTTGGCAGGGCTTTTGAATTCGGTTTCTTTTGATTTGGGCTCTTGTTGTCTAGACAGGAGAGTGTCTTCTATCACTCCCAAGATCCCAGTCTTCCCTGCCAGCGTCTCTTGTACATTTTTATAGTTTTAAATAATAACAATTGAACAGGAAAGCACATTTGGGAAAGTAGATTACTTTTAACCAGGAAATACTCTGTGCCAAGATCAAGATTGTAGTTTTAGCTTTATTACGTATTTTAGAAGTTTAACTCTTTTGTTCCACTTTTCTTTTTATACCTTACTTCTCTCAGGCTTCTGGAGGAGCAGAGATGAGGAGATAACAAAAGTTAGTGGTAGAATCACCGATTTCCGTTCTCAGCTGTGATCCTGGTTAACTTTGGTGAAATCAAACACTCTTCCTTTTAGATTATAAATGGCAGACTCTTAACTTGCAGTTTCTTATGGGTGTCTTCTTTTGAATTTATGAATAATGCTGCACTTGTATGTGTAGTTGATCAGTACTTAATAAAACTTGATGCGTGTTTGCTA